TCTACATTCCCAATTCAAAAACATTGAGTTTTATCTAGTAAAATTTTCGTTTATACCATCGAAAGATTTCAATCTAAAAGTGTATCAAAACTCTCAGAGAAATTAAACAATTGAAACACCCAAAAATTTTAACATTATAGGAAGATGATATATTTAGAGAGTGGCATGGACCATCTTCCTCACCAACCCTTTAGCATCCCTTGAACACCCCCTAGTGTAAGTTAATAGTGTGTTCCAAGGTCCACTCGCCGGCTGCTTTAAGAGATAAGGTCATACGGTATGGAGACCTTCCCACGCGTAGGTATCCTACATGGATCCTATGTGGAAGAGTTTTCCACTAGTGAACACCGTCCCAATGTATGGTAGGTGTCTTGTGGAGTGGTGGCTACCACGAAAGATTGTTGGAATCCTAAGTCGATGAGGACTTCGAGACCAAGCAATCTAATTTATGGAAAGTTTAGTTTATGGCAAGTTGGTCATAAGTTTCCTAGTCTAATACAAGTTGGTTTGTTAGGCTATATATATACCTATTTATAATCGAGTTTATGATTATGAGAACAGATTGTAAAAACATTGGTTTTGAGTGATTTTCCAATTAATCAAAGAGTTATTTTGGTTACTTGTTTTGCATTCTTGTTTTCAAAACTTTAATTGGTATCAGAGCTTAGGTTGAGAAGCTGTGAGATCGATTTGTACCTGTTGACGAGTCAGGTCAACATGACAGATACAGGGGGAGAAGGAGAAGGAGAAGCTCCGGTGAGAGTGAAGGAGGTTGGGACAACCTCAGTTTTGTATCCGATGCTCACATCCACTAACTACACCGTGTGGGCAATGCGTATGAAGGTTGTCTTACGCATCCACAAAGCCTGGACTGTGATTGATCCAGGAACCGATGTCAATGAAGAAAAGGACTGCCTTGCCATGGGTTTGCTATATCAAGCCCTACCAGAAAACCTCATAATGCAGATTGGAGATCAGGATTCAGCCAAGAAATTGTGGGATGCGATTAGAGCACGTAATGTGGGCGCAGATAGAGTCAAAGAAGCGAGATTACAAACCTTGATGTCGGAATTCGATCGCCTGAAGATGCTCGAGTCAGAAACAATCGATAACTTTGCCGGAAAGCTGTCCGGAATCTCGTCTACATCGTCGGCATTAGGAGAAACGATTGAGGAATCAAAATTAGTGAAGAAATTCCTCAAATCATTACCCAGAAACTTCATTCACATCGTTGCATCTCTTGAACAGGTACTAGATTTAAAATCGGTAGGGTTTGAAGACGTAGTGGGTCGATTGAAGGCATATGAAGAAAGAATAAGGGAAGTCGATGCTGGAGAAGGACAATCGAGGGTTCTATTTGCCGAAAAATCGACCGGAGATGGAGGTGGGTCGTCGACTGGTGGGGGTAACTCATCGGGAACGAAGGGAAATTGGAAAGGATCGATTGGGTCTAATAAAGCAAATGAGTTTAATGGGACTAATGGGTCAAGTGGATCCGGATATAGTGGGTTATCCAGGTCGGGCGGATCAGGCGGGCCCAAAGGGAATAATAGGGTTTCTCAAAGCAGTCGGCCCAATAAACTGTCCAATTCTAATTCTGATTGCAAAAATTGTAATTGTTGTTGTGGGAAGAATCGGAAAAATAGGGAAAAGGATCGATCTAAGGTGATTTGTTTTCGGTGTGACAAACCGGGTCACTTTGCTTCTGAATGTCCGGAACGACTCCAAAAATTAAAAGACGGTGATTTTTCGGAACGTGACGACAGTGACGAATCCGTTTTTTAAATACGGACCGGGTTGAAGAATTCTCTAGAAGGACTTAGAGATTCGGGGGTGATTGTTGGAATCCTAAGTCGATGAGGACTTCGAGACCAAGCAATCTAATTTATGGAAAGTTTAGTTTATGGCAAGTTGGTCATAAGTTTCCTAGTCTAATACAAGTTGGTTTGTTAGGCTATATATACCTATCTATAATCGAGTTTATGATTATGAGAACAGATTGTAAAAACATTGGTTTTGAGTGATTTTCCAATTAATCAAAGAGTTATTTTGGTTATTTGTTTTGCATTCTTGTTTTCAAAACTTTAAAGATCACTAAAGGCATTGTGTCTATCTCTCTCTTCCTTTTCTCCCCCTCTCTCTTCTTTATTGGGTGTTCACTAGTGCGTCACTAGTGCGTCACTAGTGAACACCATCCCAAAAGTATAGTGGATTGGTTGTGAAAAAGCTCTAGAATTGTTTTCACACGTATATATATGTTGTAAAGATACCGCATAGCCTAAGAGAAGAGATAAAGTGTATTTTGTGATTGGCTGGTTGTTTTTTGTGTTTTTTCAAAATGTATGCTAAAGACACATTATCGCTCCTTAACACAATGCTACACTTATGTATCATGTAAAAAAAATGACGTGTCCACTCAACATACACACCGCCACTCTGTCTAGTTCTAAATGCTTAACAAAATCAAATCAAAATTGACCCGTTATGACTCGTTCGACATCGGCTAAATGCTGATTAACATGTGAGATATTTTACTTAAATACTTGTCAATAATTGAAAACAGTAATGATAAATATTGGATTGAAAATATTGTTTTGGAATCAATAATTGAAAACAGTAATAATAAATTGGAAGAAAAAGGAGAGGTTTTTAAGGAGAAAGGCTGCAAAAAGAAAAACAAGAAAAGGGAGAAGCGCAGATTTGAAAAGATCCAAAAGGGCCCCTCCAACTTTCATCGTCTTGTCACTATCTTTGTCTCCCTATATTTCTCTCTCACACACAAGTACAATTACACACACTGTCTCTGTGTTTCCCCCACCAACGTTGAAAACGGTTTCTTCACGAAAACGTATGGTACCCTTTGATGTTACTTTTGACAATTCACAATTTCTTTTCGGGTCGGATCGTACTATCCATCAACACATTAACTGCAAATCATATGTTCCGTTTTATTACTGACGTCCTCTCCAATATAATTGTCAACTAATTGATTAGGGATATTAACCAGATAGATATTAGACCAAAAATTGATAGGGTATCATCAAAATGTTGAGTTTTAATATTAAAATGGTAATAATAAATTAAACTATATATTAAAATAATACATATTAGAGGTCAAATATTTCATGTTTGGTACTTGATTAGTAAATGCTTATCGGGTTTGTGGGTATATCTAAAATATCAGTTATCTTATTTATGATATTACCAAATTAAATATCCATTGAAACTTTGGTTACGTAAAACACAATCGCAATCATATTTAAAAATTGACTTAATTTTATTAATAATTTCAACTTTTGGCAGCATCAACAAGTATACATAAATAAACATCCCAAAAATCATAACCAAAAATTTCATTTTAAACCATTAAATAAAGAGAAAATGACAAAAATAGTCATTTACACTAATAACATTACAAAAATAGCAAAAAAATATCGAAATTACAAAAATAATCAACGATTTCGCAGATGGAAATGCCCCATCTGCGAAATCAGCATACCATTTGCGAAAGTACAAGCAGCTAAAGCACAGCTGTGCTTTAGGTGCTTGTACATTCGTAGGTTTTTTTTTATAATTTTTTTGTGTATATATAGGGATAATTTCGCAGATGGAAAATGTCCATCTGCGAAATACTCTCACTCCTATTTGCGAAATACTGATTTTTTTTTTTGTATTTTTTTTAGTTTGACTATGAAATGAATTGGTTTGACTACGAAATCATGTAGCAACATGATATTTTTCTACAAAACTTTTTATATAGCAACATGATTTCGTAGTCAAACTAATTCATTTCTTAGTCAAACTAAAAAAAAAAAAAATACAAAAAATACAAAAATATAAGTATTTCGCAGATAGGAGTGAGAGTATTTCGCAGATGGACCTTCTCCATCTGCGAAATTACCCCTATATATAAAAAAAAAAAACCATCTGCGAAAGTACAAGCAGCTAAAGCACAGCTGCTTGTACTTTCGCAGATGGCATGCTGATTTCGCAGATGGAGCATTTCCATATGCGAAATCGTTGGCTATTTTCCATATGCAAAACTCACATGCTCTTCAGGAACTTGTGAAATTTCCAGAAGCTGCACTTCCCATCATAAGAAATTAGAGTATCGCCTTTCACATGTTAAATCTATAAAATGTTAAAAAAAAAAAGAACACAGTTTGAGTAAAAAATGAAAATTATTACATCCTCCTTCCTCATTTTCCTCTCCATGAACCCTTTTTTTCATATAAACAACATAAAAGCTTTATTTTGTTGTAAATATAGTATTTCAAGATTCCTACCACCTACCAAAATAATAATAATAATAATAATAATAATAATAATAATAATAATAATAATGTTTTCATGACAGAAATTATGATTTTTGCATTTGAATACTAACCTTGCAAAATCAAATCTACGAAATTTTATTAATTTAGTTATTGTTTGTAGTTCAAAAATTTTCTAGACCTTTTCAGTTCAACAACTATTTCAATGGTTAAATCTGCAAAATTAATGGTGTTAAAATGTACTTTAACTCTGTGTAAATATTTAAAAAAATTAGACTTTTTATAAACTAAGTATTTTTTTTTCCACTTCTTACAACATTTTACAACAATATATCAAGATTTAATATATGGGATCGATTGCACATGGTGTTTCTTTGGCGAAATTCAACATTTTAGAAGATTACTTTGCAAAATCTATCGTATTATAGCAATATCATCCAATTATCCACTTACCACTTCCAACATCATATTTTTAGCTTTAAAAGTACAATGTTATATATGAACGTATTTTTCGAACAAAAAAAACTCGATATATTGAATCTTGATACCTTCAACTTTTGGATTAAAATTAAACAATCGCCTACAATAAATTATGTATTGTATTTGAATAAATGAATGCATTTTGTTTAATCATGTATTAGTAGCTGCTAAAATACCAAGAATACCCTTGATACTTATTATTTATTTTTACATATGTACCTAATAATGATTTGGCCTTCTCTTTTTTCAGCTGTAACAATCTGGCAATCTGCCATTCTTGCCCAAATTTCCAATCTGGTAAAAAGAGGATGAAACATATAAAAAATATAAATTTGGCAATACTAATTCATTTTCAATAGATTTTGAAAAAAAAACAGAAAAATTATCGATAAATTTAAACCGACCTTGCACTTCAACTGGGTATTCGAAACATGTGATTTTGCAGCTGGGTGCTTGTTTTACTTCAACACCATTTCAGACATAAGTAATGCTTGTTGATCATACTACAAAAAAAAAAAAAACAAATTTCTGGCAATATATAATTGACCTTTGATATATTCACTATTGTCAAAGATAACAAAATTGTAATAAACTCCTAAAATTGTGAATGAAATCACAGTTACCTTATTGAATAAACTGCTAAAATTGTTAAACTTATGCATTTAATTCTGAGATATTTGCCCCAGAAGGTGTAGAAATATTCCTGAAAATGTCGATTTTCCAGAATACACATGACAAACCTACAAATGTAAGATAGAAGTTGTTAGAATCACATAGGCAAATTATTCTGTGAAAAAAATAAAGTGTTACACTTACAATAGCAAGATTTAGGTTATTCAGACAATCTTCTCTTCATTAAGTAGGATCCACTTCTGAGGTTTATACTGTGAGCGAGACATATTAGAATAAAAAAACTTATAAAGTAAAAGGAAATGCATAACAGAAGACAGACAACCGATCAAGCATTTCGGCAAACAGATAGAGAACATTTGTGACACTTGTTCTCAAAGTCAAGATCTTCAAGGAAGTGGCCACAGAGAAATAGAAGTGGCCATAGAGAAATAAATGATTAAATGATATGGGACGGAGATCCTTGTCATTTTTAACGATTGTCTTTGGTGAAATTTTGATAGTATTTTGTATTATTATTATTATTATTATTATTATTATTATTATTATTATTATTATTATTATTATTATTATTATTATTATTATAACATTTCAAATTAAAATCCAAAATTATATATTTCATAAAATAGAAAGAAAATAAAATGTAAATGACTCACCAAACAAACATTAAGAGCTTTGGCAACTCCTGCAATGGAAACATCTGAAGGTAATGGACCAACTCCTCCATATAAGAAAACCTGTATAAATATTTATTTTATTAACATTTCATTTCACCAATTTCAGAATATGAAAAATAAAAAATGATAACATACATATTTACACATTTACATGTGATAAATGCCATACCATGTAACTTGTAGACTTTTGGATTTCAACTTCTTGAGCTACATAATCTACCAATATAGAACAAATAAACTGTCAATTCAGGGGTAATTCGATAAATAGTGTTTCTTTACCTTATTATTTCAAGATTCTCATATGAAACTTACATAACTTGATACAACAGCAATATGGCAAACACTCCAATGAATATAATGAAGCTTCCTGAACAACAAATGTCTTAATTCATCCTCCATCTTTCCAGAACTGAGCAATGTGAAATCATAAACATTAGTCAACAAAATTATAAAAATAATAATACAAATAATAATGAAGAAACTTACATAATTTCATCACCAACCGCTATGATTGAGGCTGAAGGTAGCCCTATCAAGAATACCCGTTACCCGAATTACCCACCCGATTTTTTCGGGTATCAGGTAAATCGGGTATCTGGTTAATTTTTTCGGGTAAGTGGGTAACCATAATTTTTTTCGGTTCGGGTAAAAGGTAAGTTTTTTGGGTTTTGGGTATACTCGATTACCCGAAATATATATAACAAATAATGTCCCTTTACGAGTATATCTGTACCTCCCAATTCCCAAATCCCAATTTCCCTCATTGAGGCTCGTTCTATTTTCCCCACGTCAAAAAACCATCGTACCTCGTCCGCTCTTCGTTGGTATTCGTCACCAATGGATGACTATATTGAAGTAGAAGATGAGACGATTGAAGTTGACAACCCAACCAGTTATCAAGTTCCACAAGAAAAAGAGAAAAAAACAAGAATTCAATGCAAGATCGAAAGTTTGGAAAGAATACTTGATATCTCAAATATTATTGAGTAAAAAATCTCAATGTTCAAAGTTTAGCACGACATACTTATTTCATTATATTTATTTTTAGGTGCCATTAAAAAAATTAAAAGAAAATAAAAATCGGGTAATACCCGAATTACCCTTACCCGACCCATTACCCAAATTACCCATACCCGAATTTAATTTGGGTAGGGTAACAGGTAAACTTTTTTATATGAAAAACACGAATTACCCGAACCAATTACCCGAAACCCGAAAATTTTACCCGATCAACACTTCTAGCTGAAGGGGTGTTTTCTTGATGTGATTCCACACCTCTGACTCCATCTTTGACCTTTTTAGGTAAGTTTTGGGCTCTTCCAGCTCTATCTAATTTTCCATCTGAAAGCATATATGCAGGCGTCAACTTCTCCTTACCAAAATCTTTAATGCATAACAATGCATTTGGAGTTGTGTATTATTAACAATAGAAAACCATCATTTCAAACAATGTATGTTACAAAAATCATTTAGAATAAGAAAATAATTAAATACCATATGCTATTAAATGTAATGAAATATAAAAAACACTTTTTAATATAATATTACCAAAAAAAATTGATTTTTAACTTAAACGGAGTGTTTATCGGCTGTAATTCCGCAAATATGTTTTGCCTCAACTGTTATAATGGAAAAAAATAAAAATAAAGTAATATATATATATATATATATATATATATATATATATATATATATAATTACATATGAAATCATGTCATTAAAATGTACCTCCTCTTGTCTGCACTTTGGAATAAGTTCATTCAATGCATTCAATTCACTATGCTCAAAAAAATGTGTTCCTTTAAACAAATATAAATTTGGTTAAATTGTGCATAGAAACACTCCTAAAAGATAAAAAATGGTACCTTTTTTAACTTCACATTATCATGGGTTGAGAAATAAAAGATATGTTGTGACTCATGCGCTTTATATGAACAATAGAGTGTTTCAATGTGCTTATAAACAACAAAAATAAAGTGAATTGAGTTAAATTAGTATTGATTCTAAATATGAAAATGAGTAAGTTTTACGAATGTTAACTAAATGATGAAGTTATTCTTATTAATCTTCAATGGATGGATAAATCAGTTTTGTTTCAGATTATTGGATTCTTTAGGTGCCACACAATCAATTTTAGATGTTCTATCAAAATAATGTCACATACAACTCCTTTAAGCTGATTGGTTGATCTTATTATTGAAATACTCAAAATCAGATTACCCCTTTCAAAAGTTGGTAGTTTTAATAGCTATAATGGATACCTCTTTCATTTTCTAATAACTGGAAAACAAACTCGGGTTGCACCTCAAAAGCTGTAATTGTATCCCACTAAGGAAGCCTGAACAAAATAAGAAAATAGATGATGAAACAAATCTAATCAACTAATGAATCAGGTAAAGTAAGGCGGAATGAATACATTAATTGGCTCAGACATTTCATCGAACGCCTTATAGGCATGTTTGTCATCCAAAACCCACTTCCCAAACCCGTAGTTAGGAAGTCGTCCCCTTTTTCATGTTCAATCACATGATTCTCCAAGTATGACGGTTGCAAAGCTGAAAGACTGACATTCAATATGAACCGGTTCGGATTTAGCCTTGATTTTGCAGTTTTTGTTGGTCATGTTTGATAAACCGACATAAACCCAGATGCATTTGTCAAAATGATTATATAAACAACAAAAGAAGAAGAAGTAACGCACGAAGAAATCATGAAGTCATAAATCTGATATAACTATTTCTTGTAGATAATCAGAGGAATCAAAGAAAAACTTACATACCCAACATTGCTGCTTCTCTGCAATCGTCCTCCTCCATTCTCGTTTGATCTCACGTGTAATCGAGGTTCGCAGTGTAATCGATGTCGGACGGTTTCCGAATCCTGAAGAAGTATTGATGTAGGTCCTTCTCAAATCTAAAGGAGACATAAAATCGAGAATTGTGGTGGCGATGGGAAGTAGGCTAGGTGTAGAAGATGGATTCGAGTGCAAGATAGAAGTTCTGGTGGAAGGTAGATAAAATCAATCGGTAATAAAGAATAATCGGTGGAACCATGAGATCGGAAAAAACGCCAGCAATCCAAAAGTGATTGGGTGAGAAAACGGTGAAGACAACAGACGTCAAACGCGTAGCAACAAAAATCGATCAAATGGCAGAAAGTGCCCAAAAAACAAAGACGGAAAAAGAAAGCCAAAAATAGACATGTAGGATAATTTTACTGTAGCTAAGGTAGGATAATTTTAATATATATATATATATATATATATATATATATATATATATATATATATATATATATATATATATATATATATATATATATATATATATATATATATATATATATATATATATATATAAAATTAATATTTAATTTGTTTTTAAATTAGTTAATTTTTTTAAAGTTTTCTTGTTTAATTCGTTGAAAGTAAAATATAACTCAAACATGTTGGCTTTGGTTCACATTCGATGCTAGATTTGGAAACAACATATCGAACTAAATTAAACCAAACATAATGCCTATTCATATTCAAACAAATAAAGATATTAGACAACCAAAACAAACCATGCAGACACATAAATGTTCCACCATTAATTTGATTGTGGAGGCTCATAGAAAAAAAGGGGGATTGGCTTTATTCAAACGAGAATATAATAAACACGCGATTACTAAATCAAAAACAAAACAAAATCAAATTTGCATTGATGACAAACCCTCACTAAATATCTCCCAATGCTTTTCCAGAAACACTCTGAAAAAAACCCATAAAATGAACATCCTAATAAAAGCACAAACTAAACGGTTATAATTGTGTCTCAAAACCTAAATCAAAGCAACAATAATGTGATAAACAACACAAACACAATTCATTCCTAAAGTTATTAAATTCACTCAAAATTGAAGTGCCGCCGATCCCAAAAAATGGTTGGATATTAAACTGGATAGTCCTACAGAGTTTCCATATATTAGTTGTTACCCCGACAGATTGGACTGAACATCCAGCTTACCACTAATGTAAAGGAGGCAGATAGGTAGAGATAAGAGATTACCACCTAGCTGCCTTTAAAATAACGATTCACTACTTTGATCCAACGAGTGATGGATAGAAGAGGTGTGGAAAAGGCTTGAAATCAAAGCAAAACATAGAAAATAACACCAATTTATGTGAAAGATCGATGGTCTTGTTTTTATAGTTTTCAGAAACCCGATAAACAGAAGAATAATCGAACAGAACAAAAAACTGAACCCATTATATTTTGTATATATGTTTAGAACCGACATTCATGTTTTCATGTGACTAAAACAACAATCCAATCCAAGTCATAATAAAAGGACTTTATAGAGATTATAACAAAATGGATAACATAACGGGCATTTATCGAAATAATTATAAGAAATCTCCGATAAAATTTTAATATTTTGAATCAATTTATAGTTTAATCTTAAACTAAATTTTGTTAAAAAAAACATATTATTGACTAAAACTTCTAAATAACCCTTGTCGGTCGGTTTCACAGATTTAACTACTATCCTATCTTTCTTCATTAACTAGTATCCCGTATTTTTTCGTTAACCGGCTAAAATATTGTGACTTTTCTGAAGATAATATCATTTTTTTACCAATAACGAATATATTGAGATTTTTTGAAGATTACACTTGAACTAATGTATAATATTATTAACATGTCATTTATAACACATAACATATCTTTTTATATTATAAACAAAAATATATAGTTGTAATTAATTTATAAGAATAGACAAGTAGACAAAGTATCCGTCCTGATATTGCTTGTTGACAACTTCAAATTGTCTAAAACGCTCTTATGCATCATTTTGGGAGTCAAGTGAGATAAACTATGTGTGTATTTCTCTTATTTCTTTAACTTAACTATTACCAAACTTTCATACTTTACATGAGAAAAACCATCTGATAACACATATCTACCAAGAGTAAAAAGTCAACATTGAATGACAAAAGAGGATCGTAGATTGTTTGAATTTGAGAGCAAGTAATACTGGGAAGATACTTAATCCATTTTTCCATTTCTAGAAATCATCAACAACTATACTTTTTGTTGTTTATAATAAAAAAATGTTAGGTTTATAAATGATTTGTCAATAATAATATACATTAGTTCAAGAGCGATTCTTAAAAAACTCCAAATATTTTGGTATTAGTAAAAAATAACATAATCTTTAGAAAAGTCTCAATAATTTAACCATGTAACGATAAAAGACACGAGACTCGCTAAATCCACGAAACCGTCCAAAATGGTTAATCTGAAGTTTTGGCTGGTAATTTGTCTTTTTTGTAAACAAAATTTAGTTTGGGATTAACCAAAAACAGACCCAAAATATGAGGACTTTATTGAAGATTTCCCAATAATTATTTATAAAAATTATGTCATAAACATTAATTCGGTTCCAAAACCAACAATATCTCAAAATATAATACTATAATTACATACAACATAAATACAATTGTATAGAACGTCACACGCTGGCGCTGGTACTTGAAGTCTTGCACTGATGTTGTTGTTGGTGCTAGCGCTGGTGGTCAGCGTGTGAAAGTATTTTGATTCATGCATCTTTTGTCATTTAAAGGTGTTTTATAAAAACAAAGTTTATTTTATGTGTATGTTGATATGTAAAGTGTGTATAAACTAGCCAAAGACCATTATGTTTGTTGTTTTGTTGTGTTGGTTGTTTCTATTATAAAATGGTTGTAATAATTTATTTGTTCATATGGTATGTAATAAATTAAATAGATTAGTTTTCTTGGTTTATTTTTCTAAGTAATAAATTACTTGTTAGAAATAGTTTATTTTCACAAAATGTAACAAGAAATGAAGTTGGAGCCATTTTTTGAAGACCAAAGTCCAATTTTCGCAAGTTAAGGTGTGTAGGATTTACAGTGACATTTTGCAAATTGTCGCTAAATGTTGTTGTTGTTGCTGTTGGCAGATTTTTCAAATGGCTATTGAACATTTGCGACACTTTCTGCAGCACTTTGTGAAAGTGTTGCATATTGCTGAAATATTGCTTTAAATAAGTTTTTCCAATATTTTGCAAGCAAGGGGTGTTTACTAAAATGAGAGCTTCTACAACAACATTACAAAAATATTTTTTGTCCCTTAAAATTTCCCTTTAGGAATGGACTTGACATTTTTCGTATTGATTCAGAAAAAATATCATTAGTTGGTTATGTTTATACACATATAATTTTATGAATGTTTGAGTTGTTTATTTTATGCAAGTACTATGTGTGGTTGATAAATTAGTTTTTTCATATGCCAAAATAATTTTTGGACAAAATAAAAATCACATGGACTTTGGTTTTCAAAATTTATAATGCAGACATACGATGTAAAAAGTTATAGTTTTAAAATAAAATTTGATTTAATAAAAATGTTAATAATGTCAATTTTGAAATACTCAAATATAAGTTTTAAAATGATGATTTTTATAACTTATACAAAGTCCAAATATATAAGTAATAAAAGGAAGTTTTATTAAAGATATAAAAGGTTTAAATGCACTCAAACTTCATATCGGTTATGTAACAACGTAAATTTTTCCAACCAAAAATTTCATTTTTAAATTAATGTAAAACACATCTCACATTTTTCCAAAAATCTCAAGTAACAATTATCCACAAATTTTCAAAACATTTATTCAAAATCCTAGGTCATCACTTCTCCTCGATGCAGGCGTACAATCATGTCGGTGCGTTTCCGCGGTCCTCGGAAGTACCTGAAACACATAACACATAAAGCGGTAAGCATAAATGATTAGTGAGTTCCTCAAAATACCACACAAAACTCACTAGTCACTCAAGGCTGTAACTCAATAAGACCCTCTGGTCAATGTGTCTCAGTGGGACCCCCCGGTCGCATAACTAAGGTTGGATCCTCTGATCCCTCTACTCAATACTCAAATAAACATAGCATACATATCAAAAGTAATAATAGAATACCTCAATGCAATTAACATGATATCTTAAACATAGAGTATGCATATAAGACCCTCCAATCACACGTAGGTTACCACTCAAAGTAAGTATAATGAGAAGACTCACCTCGCGACTAGTAGGAAATAGATACACACTTTGACAATCCGGACTAGCCTTCACCTATCACATTAAACGAGCATCTCAAATAATAACATATTTTTACTCTTTCTAACTATAGCCCTCTTTGCTCATTCTCTAACCCTTGGGATGGGTAAAAGACCGTTCTACCCTTCCAGATTTCCCAAAAGTTCCTAACTGACCCACACACGAAGTCAATAGACCAGGTTGACATGACTCCTCGATTTTACTCATGTGACTCACTGAGTCCAAACGTTTTTCTCACTGTTCTCACCGGGATTTACTCAACTCATCGAGTTGACCGCCAACTCGATGAGTTATCTCTGGGTCCATGGTATTGGGTCGAACCCGATTCGACTCGTCGAGTCATCTCATAGACTCGACGAGTCGTCTCCATTGCATCACTCATAAGGTCTCCTGAGGTCAGATATGGAACTCTGGCTCATAGATCTGGCCTTCTAGCATAGAAAAGTCATGTAAAGGTCTGAACTTGGGGTTCATGCATGGTTTATATTGCTCCATATACCATTATGACTCCATTAAAGCTTCATAGCTTTAAAGCTCCAAGGTTACTCTATCATGGCTTTTTACTTTCTGGTTCTCTGGACCTCACAAGGTCAAGATCTATAGAATAACTCGAAAAATGATTTGGATGCACCCAAAACCCCATAAAAATGGTGATACAAGCCCTAACTTTACAACCAAAGGAAATCTATTCAATCACAAGGAATGCAAGAGCTTATACTAGATCTGAAGCTTGAAATGAAGATGAAACTGATCCACAAAATCTCCTCTGAGATCCTGGCAACGCCCTTGATATTCTTGTCAAAGAAATGACCTCAAATTAGCCTCTTTCCCTTTCTTGCTCACAAATGACTCGACGGTTCCTCTCAAGGGATGAATGGCACTGATGGGGGGTGTCAAGGAGGCTATAATTGTCTTTAAATAGGCCCAACACTGACTTGTCGAGTTGGCTCATCGACTCGTCGAGTCCACTAATTAATCCTAGTCATCAGTTGCGACCCTACTCGATGAGTTGAGGCGCCAACTCATCGAGTCCATCTAAAATTCTCAACTTAAGCTTTCAAAATAATATACCAGGAAAACCGGAT